CGTTCCTTTTAGTTTTTTCATCTTCGATCGAGGGTTCGTCGAGTTCGTCAGTTTTTTGTTCTATTCGAGTGGTTTTTTCGTCGTTTTCGAAGATTTTTTCGATCGGATTTCTCTTTTTCGAGATTCTTTTTTCGTGAGAGTGGTGGGGTCGAGAGCAGAGCCTCCCCAGATGATCTCAAACTCCGAGGTGGGACGTAAAGGCCTACCCTTCCTCCCTCTTCTGGGCCCTGGTTCCTCATCCTGGTGGCAAAGGCAAAGGGAAGGTGGGTGGGTGAGTGAGGGAGGATGGCCTTTGCTGCTGGTAAAAGCAGGATAGGGAACCAGGGCCCGTAGGAGGCAGGAAGGAGAGGGTTGATCCCTCCCTATTATCCAACATATTCAGTTATCTAATGTTTTGCTGGCCCGTTTATGTTGGATAACCAAGACCTCTACTGTAGATTTAAACTCTGTTTTTTCCCCCTATAAAACAATGTGTTAATTTCTAAGCCTCTTTGGTTGCTTTGGGTCAGAGTTTGAGAAAATAAATTATTGGATTGTCAATCCAAGATAATTGTGGATTCAGAGAGTTATAGTTGAAAGGGAGTTTTGTACAGAACCCTTGAATTGTAGTGGGTTATTTTCTTGTATTGTTGAAGACTTTCATGGCTGGAATCACTAGGTAGTTTTTTTCGGGCTATATGGCCATTTCACCTGCATCTATGGCAAGCATCCTCAGAGGTAGTGAGGTTCTAAAATTACAACAGCACAACAACAGAGAGGAAGCAAAGAAGGACATCTAATCACCTCTCAACAAAAGTTTGCTCTAGGCACTGTCAGGCCATTATATGCTAATCAAGGTGGTCAGTTGAAACATTCACACCTAGCTCCAGCAGACAATAGTCCTCTGTCTCACCCTGGTCTTTCCACAGATATATAAACCCTTTTCCTAGTTCCAACAGACCTCACTACCTCTGAGGATGCTTGCCATAGATGCAGGCGAAACGTCAGGAGAGAATGCCTCTAGACCATGGCCATATAGCCCGAAAAAACCTACAAACCCGGTTATTTTCTTGTTTTAAGGGAACACTTTTTTATAATCTTTTTGCTTATTTTATTTCAACTGATAAAACTCCTCCCCACCTTTCAGTTGAAAATATCCTTGGCTTTTCCCATAAATAAAAAAGCCCAATGTGTTAACCCTTGCTGTTTTTGTTCAGCTAGGATTGTGCCTCAGCAGAGCTTCTGCATCCATTCTTAACCTCAACTGCAGCCTGGTTCTCTTACCTGTGTGCCGGATTCTTCTTGCCTTCCTTCGAGGTTCTCAAAAGGTAAGAGAGAATAATCTAATTATCTCAAGTAGATGTGTTTATTGTTCGTTGGGATTTGCTATGTTGGCTAGAGAATTATCAGAGCTGCATTCCAAAACAAGCAACTTTTTCACACTCTACTTTAAATTAGAGGAAAATTGAATAGCTTCTTACCAAGGTCGGAGAATTGAAGACTGAGAAATGGCACAATATTTGCCTTTAAATAAGTGAGGGAAGATAATAATAATAATAATAATAATAATAATAATAATAATAATAATGCGTTGTTGTAGGTTTTTTCGGGCTATATGGCCATGTTCTAAAGGCATTTTCTCCTGATGTTTCGCCTGCATCTACGGCAAGACCAACAGAGGTTCACTACCTCTGAGGATGCTTGCCATAGATGCAGGCGAAACGTCAGGAGAGAATGCCTCTAGACCATGGCCATATAGCCCGAAAAACCTACAACAACCCAGTGATTCCAGCCATTAAAGCCTTCGACAATACAAAGTTTTCACAGTTTAATAAACTTTTCCATGTTTTTGTGCACGAGGCTTTTGGGAAATGGCTGGATCTTGGGACTTCTTGTTGCAATCCAGAGCAGGGAACGAGGCCCTAAGATAACTATCCACCACACTTGGCTGTGAAAAACAATCCTTTTTTATTGAAGAAAAATGGTTACAAAATAAAGGAAAAATGCAAGTCAAAAGCCACAGCAAAATCAGCAAACATGAATTTAAATGGACAAAGCAAAACCAAAAGCCTCACTGGGAAATACTGGAATCTGTTAGCAATCCACTAACCGTACTTGATATCCTAGAAATCTTCCCAAACTATGGCCAGGGAACCAGGAGAACTGCCAAGGTCTTCATCAATTCTGAAACGATGCCTGAACTGAGGCAATCAGCCTGGCGTATTGCAATTAAAACTCAAGAATCGGTTCCGTGAACCGCCCTTCTGTTTTGAAGCCAATGTTTTTAATTCTTGAATTCGGGAGGATCAACGCAAACTGAGTGTTTTACTTCTGTCTTCCCAAATTTGGCCCCTTCTGTTGTCATTACAGTTAACAGGTGCAGAAGGGAGGGAAAGTTCAAGGTCTCCCTCTGAAACATTCTCAGGAACACTGGTACTTTCATTTTCCAAATCTACAGAAGTTCCTTCCTCACTAATTTCAGGAACATTGGCATTTTCCAAACCTACAGCAGTTTCTTCCTCACTAATTTCAGGAGCATTGGCATCAAAAGGTACATTTCCACTAGCATCAGTAAATATACTTTCATTAGCATCAGGAGGAACAAACAGAGAATCAGGTTCAAGTTCAAACTCAGGCTGAACCCCAACAGGTGCCTTGAAGCAATGACACACAGATACACAAATAAAGGTAAAGGCTTCCCCTTCATCTCCAACTCTGGGGGTAGTAGTGCTCTGGGGTGGTGCTCATCTCTATTTCAAAGCCGAAGAGCCTGTGTTGTCTGTAGACACCGCCTAGGTCATATGGCCAGCATGACTGCATGGAGCACCGTTTACCTTCCTGCTGAGGTGGTACCTATTGATCTACGCACATTTGCATGTTTTTTAACTGCTAGGTTGGCATTATCTGGGGCTAACAGGGGGAACTCACTCCGTCCTGCAGATTTGAACCACCAACCTCAGCTAGTTCAGCATCTCAGCAGTTTAATCTGTTGCGCCACCACAGTGTTCTGTAATGCAGAAGATGGAACAATAATGTTTTCTGGTGATCCAGAGCCTATGAACATGAATCTATGGATTGAAATTTATAAGACAAAGAGATGCCACTTAGTAGGAGGTTGTTTGCTGTAAGAACTGTTTGACAGATGAATCAACTGCCTCAGAAAGTGGCGGATTCTCCTTCTTGGAGCATTTCAAACAGAACTTAGATAGGAATCTTTTACAAATGCTTTAGGTTTTTTTATTTTTTTGTTGTTGTTCATTCGTTCAGTCGTCTCCGACTCTTCGTGACCTCATGGACCAGCCCACGCCAGAGCTCCCTGTCGGCCGTCACCACCCCCAGCTCCTTCAAGGTCAGTCCAGTCACTTCAAGGATACCATCCATCCATCTTGCCTTTGGTCGGCCCCTATCCTTTTGCCTTCCACTTTCCCCAGCATAATTGTCTTCTCTAGGCTTTGCTGTCTCCTCATGATGTGGCCAAAGTACTTCAACTTTGTCTCTAGTATCCTTCCCTCCATTGAGCAGCCGGGCTTTATTTCCTGGAGGATGGACTGGTTGGATCTTCTTGCATTCCAAGGCACTCTCAGAACTTTCCTCCAACACCACAGCTCAAAAGCATCTCTCTTCCTTCGCTCAGCCTTCCCTAAGGTCCAGCTCTCACATCCGTAGGTTACTACAGGGAATACCATGGCTTTGACTAGGCGGATCTTTGTTGCCAGTCTGATGTCTCTGCTCTTTACTATTTTATCGAGACTGGACATTGGTCTCCTCCCAAGAAGTAAGCGTCTTCTGATTTCCTGGCCACAGTCTGCATCTGCAGTAATCTTTGCACCTAGAAATACAAAGTCTGTCACGGCCTCCACATTTTCTCCCTCTATTTTCCAGTTGTCAATCATTCTTGTTGCCATAATTTTGTTTTTTTATGTTTAGCTGCAACCCAGCTTTTGCTCTTTCTTCTTTCACCTTGATTAGAAGGCTCCTCAGCTCCTCCTCGCTTTCGGCCATCAGAGTGGTGTCATCTGCATATTTACCCCATTTATTCCCTACTTTTCTCAAAGGCAACTCAAGGCAGCTTACATATAGGCAATTATTCAATGCCTTAAAGCATCAATTCCAATGCCTTAAAGCATCAATTCCAATGAACATTATAATTATAATTAATACATATTAAACATTTTAAAATATTACATCCAGTATTAAAAATCACGCCATCCATAATCACAGTCCAGGGCCTTTCCAATAGTTATTCCACTATTCCATATCTCTTATTGTACTGCAACTATTCTCTGAAGGCTTGATCCCAAAGCCATGTTTTCACTTCCCGTCTGAAGGCCAGGAAGGAGGGGGCTCATCTAATGGCACTGAGGAGGGAGTTCCCACATGGCATGGGACTGGAATCTTTTCATCTTTCATCATCCAAATATAGCCTTTGTAGTCTTTTCAAACTCAGTAATTCTGTGAAAAACACAGAATGGCCACAAGTATTTTCTCCTTAGCATGTTTAGACTCCATGACTATCAACATGTGTTGTGAGGCTATTCTTTAGACACACAGTAACTCACTGGAGGCATTAAGTGATACAGTTCTGGGGCTTTCTGTTTATTTTTTTTAAAGTATTGATTCTACTTTGATTGGACCTTTAGATCAGGAGTGGGCATTATGAACTCCTCTAGATATTGTTACACTGGAAATCCCATCCTCCTTTACCAGCATAGCCAATGGTGTGAAATGCTGGGAGATGCAGTCCAATCACAATTCACACCCCTGATAGACCCACTAAATCCATGAAAATTAGATAAGATTTGACTAACAAAGTTATTTATTGATTCAGCAAATTTACTCTACTCTAAATGGTACTACCAATCCAATTTAACTTGGCTTAAAGCAACTAATCAGAACCTACTTGACTTCTAGTAGGTTGCATTTGTCTCTGTACTCTTCTCCCAGATTTTCCTTTTGGAGAGGAATGCTGGAATTGTAGTTGTAGAAGCATAAAGTTGGAGGAGACCCCAAGGGCCATCTAGTCCAACCACTTCTCTTGTAGGAGTAGATGCCTAAACCCGTCTTGAGAGTTCCTCCTCTGAAAGACTGCATGGATATCTTCTTCTGCCTTAGAGAGGTACTGATTTTGACTGATATCTCTTTTTCAAAGAAATAGGTAGTGATTTATATTCTTTTTCCCCCCCCAGGTGCCCAGTCGAAAAACTAGGAGGCTGCTGGATAAAAGCAAAACTTTCCATGTGACGTGTGGTGTGATGATCTGCATCTTCTCAGGTGTGTCTTTCTGGTGCTAACAATGCAAGGTCTTGCTGTGAAGCATGTGACAACATCATAAACCATTTGTGGCTTTTCTTCCACAGTACATGAGGGGGTACTCTTGTTCCATGTTTCTTTTATAGAGAACTAGAAGTGCTTTCCCGGAGTCTTCTACTCTTCAAGAGGAAGAGGTCTTCATTTAAGAATCTCTGAGTCTGAGCAGCTGCTTCTCTCTCTCTCTCCCTCCCTCCCTCTCTCCCCATTAAAAACCCAGTTGAAAGCTAGATGGCATAGAACTGGTCCTGGCTCAAACACATCCAGTTTAAACAAAGTAACACAGATGCTGTTGCAGTGAAGGCTGTGTGGGCAGACAAAAATTTGTTCTCTGCGGAGGATTCCTGTCAGCTATTTTAACCCTATTCTCTTGTCTGATTTAGTTCTCTGCCCCCACGTAAAAGACACAACGGTTGCCTTACATATTATTTCACTAAATTGCCCATACAGAGTAGTTCATGAGCTCACTCGTCCAAGATAGTTTGCTGCTAAAGCGAAGGCAGCAAGCATCCCATTTCTTGAGTCCACTTTGTGGAAGAGACAGTATTTGTGTTTGAATCTTATTTTTAACCAGAGTTTGGGGGAGTTCGTTTTTAAAAAACCATTGCTCCCAGGTTGCTCTTCTGAGTACCATAATTAATTTAGAAAATTTCCCAAGCTCGGTCACAACCAACCCCAGCCACTTAACTGGGTATCCGTTATCCAAAATGTTAGGGAACAGAAGTGTTTTAGATTTTGTGAGATTTTGTATACCTAAATTCATTTATGCTTCATATACACCATACATAGTAATTTTAGACAATACTTTTAATACTTTTGTACATGAAATATTTTTATTTATTGAACCATCAGAAATAATAATAATAATAATAATAATAATAATAATAATAATGACAAAATTGAAGTAAAAGTTGAATTCTTGACAAAATTGAAGGAAAGGTTGATAAGGAGCAGAGCTGGTTGTGGCTCACAAATGGAACACTGAAGAAGGAGACAGAAGGCCTGATTCTTGCAGCCCAGGAGCAAGCCATCAGAACAAATGCCATTAAGGCCAGGATTGAAAAATCAGCTGATGACCCAAAATGCAGATTGTGCAAGGAAGCTGATGAAACCATTGATCATATCCTCAGCTGCTGCAAGAAAATCATACAGACGGACTACAAACAGAGGCATAACTCTGTGACCCAAATGATTCATTGGAACTTATGTCACAAGTTCCACTTGCCAGTAGTAAAGAATTGGTGGGATCATAAGCCTGCAAAGGTAGTGTAAAATGAACATGGAAAAATACTGTGGGACTTTCGAATCAAGACTGACAAAGTTTTGGAACACAATAGTCAGACATCATGATTGTGGAAAAGAAAAAAGTTTGGATTATTGATGTCACCATACTGGGTGACAGCTGTATTGAGGAAAAACAACAGGAAAAACTCAACTATTATCAAGACCTAAAAATCAAACTGCAAAAGGCTCTGGCATAAACCAGTACAGGTGGTCCCAGTGGTAATGGGCACACTGGGTGCCGTGCCAAAAGATGTCAGCCGGCATTTGGAAACAATAAACATTGACAAAACTATGATCTGTCAACTGCGCACATGGATCTGAGCACATCATTCGAAAATACATCACACAGTCCTAGAAACTTGGGAAGTGTTCGACTTGTGATTTTGTGATACGAAATCCAGCATATAGATCTTGTTTGCTGTGACATACTGTGCTGGGTAAACAACTTTATACCCAGCCTCCATCTGAAGGGACTCGGGGTGGCTTAAACATGGGACAATGTCCACAGAACATCAAAGAAAAAACATTGGGGTATAAAAACAGCAACCTTAAAACTCACTCAGACAATGCACAACCAAAACCAATGGCCAGAAATACTAAGATGAGCATGATCATGCTATAAAAAGGACTGAGTATGGAATAGTGCAAAACAGCATAGTATAGGGACAGGGGAGTGGAAGAAAGCTTGTTTTCTGCTGCCTTGGGAGACTAGGACATGGAACAATGGCTTCAAAGTACAGGAAAGGGGATTCCACCTGAACATGGGGAAGAACTTCCTAACTGTGAGAGCTGTTCAGCAGTAGAACTCTCTGACCCGGAGGTGGTGGAGGCTCCTTCTTTGGAGGCTTTTAAACAGAGTCTGGATGGCTATCTGTCGGGTGCTTTGAATGCGATTTTCTTGCTTCTTGGCTGGGCTTGGACTAGACGACCCATGAGGTCTCTTCTATGGTTTTATGATTCTATGATTCTAAGTGAGGAGAACAGAGTACTTTCTGGTGAGCTGGGGACTGGGCATTTATATGTAGGGATAGTCATTTTCAAATGCTTGTTGGAACATCCAGGTTTTCAGATTCCTACGAATGGAGGACAGTGATGGGGCTTGCCTAATCTCCCCAGGGAGGGAGTTCCATAATCGGGGAGGGGGGGGCACAACTGAGAAGGCCCTCTCCTTCATCCCCACCAGCCATGCATGTAAGGATGGTGAGAGTGAGAGAAAGCAAAATTGTCACTATTTCAGCCACCCTTATGTACAGTTTTGCTCTTTGGAGTGTCTTGGATTTTGGAATTCTGGATAAAGAATGCTCAATCTCTACAGCATTTAACTGCTGAAATATTGTACCATGAAAAGCCTTTCTGGAGCATTAGAATTGGACTAGGGATTCTGGAAGTTGTAGTTTCAAAGAGGTTTTAATGATGTTACCTCATCATTACCACAACAAAGGCACCATGTGCTTGGAGGATGGAGGTATCAGCGCTTGCATGATATTGCTTGGGGATTTGCAATAATTGTTGTTATACACTAGTCAGACTGGCTTCAGAGTAATGGTATTCCTGAAAATGAGAAACTTCTAAGAGATGCTGTTACTAGCAACCCTGCTCAGGTCTTACAAATTCAAAGCCTTCCTTGATTCTATCTACCAGTAATGTGCCAGTTCCTTTTTTTTTTTGTCTTCAACTGTATTTTCATTACTAATGAGTCATCTCATGACATAAACAAATTACTATAACCTCAGTATCCAGAAATCCAAAAATCTCTGAAAATTGTAACTTTTTGTTACCAACACTTTTGTGATGGTAGGTGTAGAACTTCTGTCCATAAGGCTCTCAGATCCTAATTGATTTCCATAATTGTTGTTAGACTTTCATTAAAAGTTGGATCCTTTCTCTTTCGATTGAAACTACTCTATTGGCATGCTATCAGTTCCTGCTTTATTTCTCCTAAGTATCACAATAAAATAAAATTTTAGCGACCCAGTATGAACTGAATGTGAACTGGGATACACAGTGTTGTAAGAAGGAAGAATGGAATGAAATGGCTAGAGTCCCAAGCAGCAATAATCCACATTTTGTTGCAGATTTTACAGATGTTGACATGCGAGTTTTATGTGTCGAATCTTCAGTGTCTTTAAACACATCACTTTTTTTGCTTCTGTTCTAGTGATTCATGTTGGTGCTCACCTGGTGAATGCATTGAACTTCTCCGTGAACTACAGTGAACAGTTTCTTGCCCTCAATGTAGCCAACTACCGTGGTGAGGTGAGTGGGCAGAACTCCATGTTTCTTCTTTTTGTTTGTCCCTACGTGACTTTTAGCAGGATCCCCACTAGGTCCTCCAACATGTTACTATGATATATTTCCTCTGGAAGTTACTATACTTGTGTTGGAGGAGCTAGTGAATTCATAGAGAGGATAACTCTCTTGGAATTTCTATGGCTGGCCAATATAATTTTTAGGATATGCTGGGACTGGAAGTCAGGTAATATAATGGTGTTTGGTTTGCAGTTTCATGTAACCATGGTGAGGGTTGTACTGCATTTTAAACCAGTCTCAGGATGTCTTAATGACTTTTTAAAAACTGTTTAACCTTAATATTTTAATATGATTGTTTAATTTTAGTTTTTAAACTTTCTATATTATCCCATTTTGCTTGAAATAAGGAATGGAATGACTGAGTCCATTATTGAAGTGAACTAACTGAAACTTCATCTAGATGAGATTGAAGTCCTCTTGATCAACTGAAAGGCAGTTCAGGGAACAGAGATTAAGACTCCACCAAATAATGTTATACCCTCCCTGAAGATGTACCTCTGCAACCTCTGAATTCAGTCTTCAAATTAGGACCTCAAGTTTTGTTGGTGGTCAGGAAAGCATGTGCATAGTTAAAGCTTGTGCCAATTGGCACCTGTTCTTTGAGATGTCATGTCTGTCCACAGGTACAGATGTCTCATTGCATCTTGTTTGGATTACTGTAACACACTATTTCAGGTTGCCTTTGAATATTGTTGGGAAACTTCAGCTGCTCCAAAGAGCTGCAACTGGATTGCTAGATGGAGCCGGTTACAGGGCGCACACAACTCCTTTGTTGCAACAGCACTGGCTATCGGTCTGCTATTGTGCTCTCAGAGCATGAGTGGGCCCATGCTCTGAGATCTCTTGGGAAGGCTTCTCTCTTGACCCCCTACTCTTGCAGATACATCAGGTCAAAACACAGTAGAAGGTCTTCTTGTTGGTTGTGGTACAGAATCGGCCCAGCTGTTCCCTACATCCTAAAGTGTGGGGCTGTTTTGGAGCTTTGAAGGGGCTCTGGAGTATTCCCCTAATTTGCCAACGCAGGCACAACTCTGTTTAACAGCTTTGTTTCACATTGGGAGCAAAATGGCCCCATGAGTCACGTAAATGCCACAAAGCCAATTCTTACCCACTTCAGGTTGAAGTGTCCATGTCAGTATGCCTGAAGTCCTCCCTGAGGTTATATTGAGAGCTGCATGAGGTCTGCTCTAGATCTGCAGGTTGCCTGTCCTTTTGATGAGAGTCACAGATATGCTATTTGATTAAACCAGTGGATGAAATTAGATCTCTTCTGTATTCTCTGTATTTTTTTGTTGTACTTGTCTGCGTTGACTGGACAGAGTGCCAGTTTACCACTGGAGACTTGGGAATTTGTAGTCCCAGGATGCTTTCACAAGTAGCATTTATCTTGCAGCCTCTCTGTTTGCAGCTTGCAAATCTATCTGCTTTTGTTTTTCCCTTGCTAGAGGGGAAAAGACATCCCTTATGTTAGAAAAGACAGAATAGTTGCACAAGTGGGTTATTTGTTAGTACTCTGAGCTGATGTATCTGTTCTTGGGATTTAAATCTTCCTTTATTTCATTGTTGCAAAAATGAATAGTTGCCCCCTTGCTGGGTGAGAATTACAAGCTTTTGACACATTTGGTGATGGTGATTTTATTTTGGGATATATTTTGTATGTCACTTTGAGAGCAGTTAGAGAAGATTAAATCTGTGCAGAAAAAGGGGCACAAAGTCAGCAAAAAGTGAGCCCTCTAGATCTGCGAATGAATCCAACAGTGGGTGGCTATTCACCACATTATTAAATGCCAGTGACCTGAATGCAGATATACTCAAGCATGTGTATTCATGTTGCTGTCATTTAATAACATAGGGTGTGAGAACTGCATTTTTGCATTTGCATGAGCTCCTAGAACTAAAGCCCTGGGGATATAGTGGATTCCCTGCATTCTCTCCAAAGAGTCCTGAAATGTGCAAAATACTGCAGCAGTTCATCACTTGTTTGATGGGATATCTCAGTGTGCTCAGAAACTTCTCTCATCAAGGAAAGGATAAACTCTTAAGTCCTTTACATCTCTAGTTTGCCTACAGAAATTTCAGATATTTGATCTTTGCACATTGTGATGAAAATTGACCTCAGGCTAACAAATGAATCACAGTTTAATTCCCCACTGGATCATACACTTCTCTGAATGTTGTGCCATAGTTTTATTCCAGGTAAGCTAGGCATGGCAAATATGTAGCCTTCCAGAAATGGTGGATTGCAGCTCGTAGCATTCTTCATCTTTAGTCATGCTACTTGGGGTTCCTGGGAGTTGCAATCCAGTCCCATGTGGAGAAACCACAGTATATTATTCTTCTTGTGTGCCTTCAAATCTTTTCTGAGTTAATGGTGACCATAAGGTGAATCTATCACAGAGTTTTCTGATGCTAGGAGTGAGCGATTTGCCTGAAGTCACCCAGTTGATTTTCATAGTGGAAAAAGAATTTGTAAACCATTCTGAGTCCTTATGGAGAGGGGGCAGGATATAAAGATTATTATTATTATTATTATTATTATTATTATTATTATTATTATTATTAGATACACAATGAGATTAGTACACAGCAAACAAGATCACAATGCTGGCTTTTGTATTCAGTCACATGTTGGACACTTCCCAAGTGTCTAGAACCAATTGTCTATGACCTAGTGTTTTGACCTGATTAATAATAATAATAATAATAATAATAATAATAATAATAATAATAATAATTATTATTATTATTATTATTTGAATTTTGTCTCCAGAGTTGCAGTTCAGTGGTCAGTCATTACATCATCCTGCCTCTCTTCTTTTCCTGATATAAATAATCAAAATGTTCACATGAATACAAAATTGATCTCACTTTAGAGAAAGGTGGGATATGAATTCAGAAAATAAATAAATCCTGGAAGGCAGTTCTTTTGGATTTCATTGGCTTGTTCCAACAGGATTCGTCTCAAAAATCACTTTCTGAATATTGTGCCAACATTTACTATGTATAACCACGCATAAGTTGACCTAATTTATAATTTGCGGGCAAGTTTTGGGAACAAAATTATGGATTTTTATATGACCTGTGGATAAGTTGAGGGACATTCTGCAGAGAGGAGAAAGCAACAATGCCACCTTAAAGGGCCAGCTATACCTGGCTGCAACCATTACTTCCCTCCCCAGACATTCAGAAAGGCCAGAAGAAGCACCATAAGAGAGAGAGAGAGTAGATGGAATTCTTCTCCTAGATAAGTGGTTCTCAACCTATGGGTCCCCAGGTGTTTTGGTCTACAACTCCCAAAATCCCAGCCAGTTAATTAGCTGTTAGGATTTCTGGGAGCTGACGGCCAAAACATCTGGGGACCCACAGGTTGAGAACTATTGTTCTAGATGGACTAAGCTCTTTGTTTTTTTACCACTTCACACAGAGAAAGTGATGGTTCATTTTTTGATAAGAGTTCAGTTCCAGTATTACATATGAGTATATAAAGTAGGTAAATCCAGTTGATTCTGTCAGTCTACCCTAGTTGGGACTAGCAACCGAATCCAAGCTATAGAATGAACACATGATTGTGTGTGAAAAGCTATAAAACTGTTGCAGACTAGGAATGGATTTGTCAGTCCCTGAACCCTGCTTTTAAATAATGATGGAAAAATGATGAGATTCCCAATCAAATAGCAACTGCCGTGATGTTTTAAGAATGTAAAGTTTATTCTAAGCAAAGTTTTCTGTTGCTGGCTTCTCGTTTTCTCTCCTCTCTCCTTGAACTAATTCCTTCTTCATACCCAACTTTCTTAGCTGTTCTGGGGGTAGTTTTGTCCTTTGTTCCTAACCAATACTCTGAAAGAGCAAGGACATGACACATGAGTAGAAGCCAACCATGTAAAGATGAAGGTCAGACCTTCATTTACAGCAGCTCTGCTCCGACTAAGAATACTGATGAAGTTATCTCTGGCTAAGCTTGCTAAATCATTCATGCTGTCTGTGTCTGCTTTCTAGGATCCCAGGAAACTCCTTTTCACAACAGGTAAGTCAGCAAAAGCTTCAGCAAGATTGTGTTGAATTGGCAGTTTTCTAGACTAAGCTTTGAGGGGAGAAAACACAAAAGGAAAGGGACTATTATTACTGCTCTTGTTGCAGAGGCAGAAACATATATCTTTCCTGGAACAAAGAGTGCCATTTCCTATTGGAAATGGGTAGCAATGTCTTCTTTTTCAGAGAGCCTTTTTTACAAAAAAGATAATCCAGGTATGCCTAACAAAGTTGATGTGCTCCTGGGCAAGAGAGTAAATTCTCTACATTGGTGAAAATCCATCACACAGTTATAGCATTTCAGTAGCATTCCAATTGTCACCACTTCATCCTGGGATCTGTTGTTTTATGAGGTATATAAAACACTTTGCCAAAGAATTCTAGTGCCACATCAAACTACAGATCCCTGAATTTCATTGTATGTGACATTAACTTCATATTACAGCTGTGAATGTGCAGTGTAAAGAAATTTATTGGTAGGACTAATATGATTTTAAAGTAGCAGTGGACAGCAGTGGAAGACTAGGGGGCTGTATTAGGAAGCCATGTAGGTCTGCACTCCCCACTATCTCTGCCATTGCAAAAATCCCCAAATCCTCAAGAGTACACGAGGGCATTCTTGTTAAGGGTTTGGACCTTTCTGGTCTTCCAGAAGGTATTTTGTAGCAAAATTTTTAAACAATTGTGACATCTGGGCCAAAATGCATTTTTATTTATTTTATTTTTATCCCTGTGGCCACATCAACATCCCTGAGGGGCATTGTAGCATGTGACCAGTGCTACAAATCTGCATTATTGGTGTTTTCAGTTTTCTCAAAAGAGAATGCCGAAAGCCTTGGAGCTGCAAGTAATGAATTCCATTGAGATTGTCCAGATGTGGATTATTCATGTGCCATGCATTATTGCTTTTGGTTCCTCTCCCTTTGTGATATATAATATATTCCATTTCTCAGGCTACCAACTTTGATAGCTAAATGTCAGTCATTTTTCAAAGTCTCTGTTCTGTCATCTTTGGATACAGATTTCAGATTTTCCCTTCCAGTGCGTAGGCAGCAATTTAGGGGTTTTGCTGCTGTGTTATGCAGGTCAATTCTAACGCCTTTGCCATTTCCACAATAATATGGCTCCAACATTAAATTGCATTTGATGTGCCTCTATTTCATTTTACTCTGGTCTCAGAGTTTGAATCCTGTTTTAAAGAAAGCCTCCTCCCTCCCTTCTGTTTTCTCTTGGAAATTTCCAAGGCAGTAATTTTTAACAAAAGGCTGCAGGGATTCTTTTGTATTAAGGGATGGGAGTCATAACACTAATTGAGTTCTTGTGGCCAAAGGCCAATGCAAAGCATACATAATAATAACAGATAAATTATATTTAAAATATAAAGCTATAAATATATGACAAATATACAACATATAATTATTTACAAATGTTTCACTGGCCTAAAAAACACGTGTTATCCAAGGAGTCTCCTTCAGGAGAGATAAAGCAGGTATAAATAAATATAACAACAACAACAACTTTGTAAACAGCTCAAAATAGTTTATAACAAAAAATAGTAGTGCAAGATAAAATCATTTAGCATTTGAAACCTGACCAATGGGTTTCAAAGTTCTCTTGAATCTTCTTCTCTGCAAGGGCAAAACAGACTATGTTTTGGAAAACCCTGCTGGCAAACCCCTTCTTTCAGTTGTGATTGTCCTTTTCTCCTGACCTATGCACCAAACCTGTTAAATGGAAAAACAAAAACACAGTTAGCAATAAAAGAGATAGTATGGGAGATTCTCCAAATTCTCAGATGTACACCTGTTAAGAGATGGCATCATACAAGAGTTGAAAACATGAGTTGGCAACTTCTGATAACCATCTTGTTTTGGCCACAGATTCACTAGGTTACTGGCTGCTGTGTAATTGGAACAGTGAACATGCGCAATTTTAGCATCCTAATTTTAGTCTGGACTTTAATTTTCAATTGTCCAAGGTGCTCAACCCTAATCCCTGTAAGCAGGTTCAGCACCCTGGATAGCTCACCTGCCATTGGCACTAGATCATGCTTGCTAAACCAATGGCTTTCATATTCATTCTCTGATCGGCTGTCAATACATATGTTTGGTTTATGTGATTAGGTCAACAACAACTGTGTGAACTAGATGTTCCACATCTGTATGCGTGGAGGATTCTTTCTGTATGAGAGAAGGAATTGTAAACCAGTTGATCTACAGTAGTTGTTGGGACTTGTAGCTTGGCCCTTTGAACACCATGGATTCCCCCAGTATCTCAGAACTCACTCAACCATAATTGTACCTGTTAAAATACCAAAAGTTTATTCTAATAAAATGGTTTTGAAACCATGGTTTTCCAGCTGCTTGGACACTGGTCACAGAATTTTTGTTTGTTGGCCAAGCTGGCTGGGGTTTCTGGGAGCTGAAGTCCACAGCATCCAGAGGACCAAAGTTTGGGAACTACTGTTCTAAATCAAATAGAATATTGGTCCAAAGTGTTCCCCAAACCAAAACACTAGATTATATAAATGGTAACTGGGAGCATCCTTTCTGTTCTGAAATGGTGCCCGTGGTGAAACATGATGGTCCTCTGGATTTCTTGGGAAAAGTGAAAATCAGTTAATGTGCTACTATGCCTCTTCTCGGTATCAGTACTGTATGTTGTCATGTTTACTGATTTTGAATCAGCATGCCTATAAATACAACTCAGCATTGACTGTCTATACTCATCGGTTTAAATCTAGGAAAAAAACATTTCTGATTATAATCCACTAGCACGTCCACATAATTTGGTCTTGATGCATGTGATAGTGAATTCAGTCTGTTTATTTTAAAAAGATTAAGTCTGGATTTCACCCATTCTGTGTATCTGTTGGTACGTATTTTAGTAGTGCTAGGAAGATGTACTTTTCCTGTCACTCACTTTACACAATCAGCATTCTCTTTTCCATTCCAGTTCCTGGATTAACTGGAGTCCTTATGGTGCTGGTGTTATTCTTGATGTCTACAGCTTCTACTTATGCCATTCGGTAAGATTTAACCTGCCACTCTGTATAAGGCTGGTTCATACCCTTCAAAAATGTAGGACTCATTGGGAGTACATGACCATTGGCTTTGCTGTATAGAGCAGAGATTCTCAAAATGTGCTCTGTGGAGCCCTTGGGGCTCTGCAAGTGATTGCGAAGGGCTCCATGGCACTATACTGCTTCTTACCTCTTCCTCTTTTCTCCTCCTGATAAATGCAGGGAAATTAAAGTTTGGAACTGCCTAAACAACAGGAAGCAGTAGCATCCTCCTGGGGTACAGACCCCTTCTCCCCCACCTCCCTCGCTGCCCAGACTCTTCTTTACCACCCAGATTCTACCTCCCCTTATTTGCTTGTTTGTTCATTTTTTCCAATTAGTTCATACAAATACTGTCCATCCATCAGCCTGATATACATTATATATAATATGTTATGTTATATAATATATAAATATTTCTTGGGGTTCCATGAGACATTTTTGCTTCAAAAAGGGCTCCATGGCTGAAAAAGTTTGAGAACCCCTGGTCTACGGGGTAATGGGCATAAATGTTGAATATGCCAACTAAGGATGATATGAGTTGCCATGCGACACATCTGTATGGTGATGGAAAGTTTGCTGTTGAGTCTGAATTTCTGGAAAGTGAACAGTCCCTTCAAGTCACCTGTTGGCTTATGGCAACCCCATGATTTCATAGGATTTTCTTAGGTAAGAAATCCTCAGAGGTGGTTTTGCCATGTTTGTCCTCTGAAATATAGTGCCTTTAGGGTGTTTAGGCCCTTTAGAGGAGTGAAACTTATTCTAAATATTCAGAGTTTTGCACAGAACTCTAGTTTCATATATCTCTGGAGTACAATGCGGAAGCATATTCTCCTGATCTCATGCCGAGAGCATTAATTATTTACTTTATTTTAGACTTCAACTCTTAAAATCCATTAGCCACCACTATCTTCTTTGTTGCTGTTTTCTTATTTTTCCATTTTTGCCTTCTCTCACAGTCCTCGGCAAACCCAGGCCATTCTCGTGTTTTGCACAACATACTGTGGGAATAAACAAAATATATGCATGCTTGCAGGACACTCTTTAAAAAAAACCTCAATTGATTGCAGATTTAGTCTGAGCAGCTACTAAAAATATGACACACTCAGCAGCTGTCACTTACAACACTGTGAAACTCTTTGGTTGTCTGGTATTTATTAGTTCTTTATTCTTTTCCAGGGTTTCAAATTATGACATCTTCTGGTATACCCACAACCTCTTCTTTGTCTTCTACTTGCTGCTGATGTTGCATGTTTCTGGGTAAGTCATAGCCTCTTGTGATTAAGTATAGCCTTCAAAACATGTTCTGTTAAAAGTGGAAGAACAGCAGTTGATGTGATGGGTGAGATTGAGGGCAGTGCAATGCAGACAAAACAATAATTCAGTTGAGCTGTGTGGCTCTTGGAGTGCTTCAAACGTGTTAAGCCACTTCAAGGTCCATTTCAATTACTCTTGGACTGAAAAGGTGTGTACATGTTGATTTCAAGGACACAGGATGTATTGCTGATTGCAGACTGTCAGTTAAACTTAAATTAGAGTAGGGTTGGTCAATTGCCAGGGTTGGAAGGCCACATTGAAGGGTTTCATATTCAATTTCCTTCTTCTTCTTCCCAGATTAAAGAATCCAAAATTCAAGGCATCACTTTTTGTTGGATGAGAAAGATCTTGTCTGCAGATCTAAAAATACTATCCAGTTATGCCTGACCTTGAGCCGCAATGGCTCATAATACTCACAAAGGAGTCTTTATGGTCCCTATGTACTATTCCAGGGCAAGACTGGGATATGGGAACCCATGATAGGCCCAAAATAGCCCCAGGGACCATATATTTTCTACTTTATCTCTAGTGGGCACAGGACAGTGTATCGTACAACTACTTTCCTCTTCCCCATTTCATCCTTACATCAACTTTTTGAGGTTGGTCTGCCTGAAACACAGTGACTGACTCAAACTCCCCAAGTGAATTCAGTGGAAACTTAAATCTGGATTTCTGAACTTCTGGTGCAGTACTTTAATAGACTGGGTTATGTCCCATTTGAGTGTTTTTGTAGCTTGTTTCTAGACTATCTGAAAGTTGGAACATAACAGTGATCCCAAGTGTTACTACTGTTTTTCTCATTTGCTGTTTCAGATTTTAAACAATAGAAATTCAGTTGGTTATATAGTTTTCCCTCCAACTTTGTGGTTATGGATTTGATTTAAACTGTTCTTTCTAGGAATTTCTAGGTCCTCCATTGTGACTCTTTGGTCAACTTCTTCTGGTTCTGCTGGGGGACCTAGAGATTTCTGAAGAGTTTACTAAAGATTATCTCAAGGTTGTCCAATGCAAATTATGTAGTGCATTCTAGTGGAAGTTGGCCATAGAGTCATGCTAGAATTTCCTAGAGGCATGTTCTCTCAGGTAAAAGAGCTGCGGTTTCTCTATTAATGGTTTTCCGCATTCATGGATGTCCTGTGGTCCTACTCCAGCAAATGTGGAAAAAAGAATACTACCTCTTAGTATTCCTTATTTACTCAAACTGTGAAATTTAAGGGGTTTCCATGACTTGAAAGCACATATACACATCAGATATGAATTAGATTCCTCTTCCAAGGTGAGCCAACAATGGCCAACCAAGCCACGTTTCAACAACATGTGCTCAACTGATGACAAAGCACAAGTTGGTCTCATTTTAGGACCTTATGAGACCATGTCCTCAGCTGGTTTTAATCAATCTTGTACCATTTGCTTTAGTGGTGTTTTGCAAGTTTGCTCTGCCTGGAGAAACAGCTAGTTAATGGTTGAGTCATTGCTGCAACAAGAGCCAGATGGGCATAGCAGTGCCTAAGAATTCATCTGTTTTGGCTTTGGTCTTAACCAGAAATGCTAGATGAGAATGGATGCTTAAACATCAGTCTGGGGACAGGGAGCAATTAATGGATCCATTGTAAACTTTGAGCAGAGGGCAAGTTCATAACAATATTTCTTCCTCAATAATGGTAGTTTATTCAATTCAAGTTGAGTAATGCATGAGTCAATGAGCATCCAGGTCATGAGACAAGCTGTGTTTTGGAAGCCCTTGATATTTTTTTCATTTGACTTTCCCATGATCAAGTCAGCGTCCAACTGAGGCTTACAAAACTGGTCCATATGAAGTTTATTTGTGTTTTATACCTTTTTTGTTCAAAAGCTTCCAAGGCATAATTACATCTTTGTAAATGAACTAAGATCTTCAGGAAATAGAATTGAGAAATAGCACAACATTTATATTTAGCAAGGGGCTACTGTTATCTTACTACATAGGGGAGCTAGCAAAAAGACTTTTCTGCAACAGGACTGAATGCACAATGGGATACAATGTGGAGTGGGACTGACGGCCATCAATAGCCCGCTTATGGGGTGCAGATATGTATAGAATTATAGAATTGGAAGAGACCCCAAGGACCATCCAGTCCAACCCCCTGTCATGTAGGAATAAACAACCAAAGCTCTCCTGACAGACGTCCATCCAGCCTCTGTGAAAAACTCCAGAAGCATGTCATGGCAGCACATTGCACTCTCAGACAACATGCTTTACTTGCAATGCCTCCTGCTGCTCCGAGTAAGGAGAATCCCCCCTTTCTGTTTTTGTGGCCAAGGGAGCGATTTCTGCCCAGCATTAAATAGAACTCTTGTTTCTTGGCATTTTTAGGCAAAGTCTCTTAAGATAACACGAGTGACAGAAGTGACTAATGTAGCACTACTACTGCTGCTGTCAAGTGCTTTGTGACTTTCTAACAGTGCAATAATAGATTGTATATCTTGGCAAAGGATCAGGTCGTTGATAGAATGATTCACCGCACGGTGTCCCTTTCAGCCTGGGTATATACGTTTGCAGCTGAAAAGATTTTCCTTTCAAGTATCCCAGGGTAAGAATGATTCACTTCCATAGAGATTAAAGTCTGAAACACGAGGTCCTTGCTGGAGGCCCTGTTACATGTCCCAACATCTCATGAGGCTAGCTTGTTGTGTACTCATGATATAGCTTTCTCTATCAAAACTCTGACTGTGGAACTCCCTATCACAGTAAATTAGGCAGTCTCCACTGTTTTGAACTTCCAGATTGAAATTTCTTTGCAGTGTTAACTGTATGGTTTTGGGGAGTGTTTGTGTCTTTAATGGTTTGAACATTTTTCTGTGTTGTACATCACTTTAGAACAGGGTGTTGTAGTTCAGTCTTTGAATTGTGCCTGCACTTGAACTCTCTGGGGATTCTAGGCTTATTAGTCCTTCAGGTGACACTGGGGATTCTGGGTCTGCAAATCAGCAGGAGAACCAGCAAAATATTTTAATCCCTGAAAATGAGTGGTCTGTGTCTGAAGGCCATATTCTTGAAAGGCTAGGGAACCAAGGTCAGAAACAGATCTGAGCTCAAAGGATGAAAATGAAAGTCCAAGTGGACAGACTAATGAGCAACTAGATAGGAGATTTACATTCCATCAACATAGGGCTTCTCAGGAGTATTTACAAAGGTCAGGATGCCTAGTAGCCAAGAAGTCCTTATCAGTTTCCCAGGAGAGAAAGCATGATTTTTTTTCTCTATATTAGCTAGCCCATTAGATGGGTCTGTCAATCCAGGCAACGTTGGTGTTTGAGTATAGAACTACTGCCAAGTCAAGAGATTCCTAGTTCCATGTTTCCTTTTGTTCATGTCCCATGATTCCACGTTTTGAGGACTGTTCCTGAATCTCATATTTTAAATTTATTCTGCTTTTGTGTTCCTGATTTTTGATGCTATTCCTGTACTATGATTTCTGTGGATTGTTTCTGATATTTGGACTTTGGTTTTTAATACAATTTTGCTGAAATGCTTTTTTATAAATATATTCTTCAATAAACTGCTTTGCTATTTTACCTTGGACTAGAGTGTGTATTAAGTACAGAGGTGGTTCCCAACCTAGGAGTGCAACACAGGGGCTCAGCATGATCTTGTGGTTTGAGCTTTGGACTAAAATTCTAGAAACCAGGGTTTGGATCCCTTCTCAACCATGGAAACCTACTGGGTGACCTTTGGCAAGTCTCTCTCAGCATCAGAAGGTGATAAAGGAAACCTACCTCTGAACAAATTTCTCTAAGAAAACTCCCATGATATGGTCACCATAAGTCAGAAACGACCTAAAGACATATGAGCAACACATCAGCTTGGATACCCTGTAGATTGATAAGTGATACCTTAGTTAACTAAGCCTGGAGAGTTTCTAATTCAACCTACTGCTCTACACAGGTTCTACAATATAGAATCCCTGACAGGTGGCCATCTAGCATCTATGGAAAAAACAATATAGTCTTCCTCTGCAGAACAGCTTTTTCCTCCCAATGTTTAAACAAAACCTTCTTCCTTTGCTGTTTTCACCCTGGTTCTGGCTCTGCCCTCTGGAGCAACAGAGAACGGGTCTCCTCCATCTTTCTGTGTCACAGCCCTGCAAATATTTGAACAGAGCTCTTATGTCTCCCATTAATCTTCCTTTCTCCAGAGTAAACATGCTTGTTTTTCAACCATTCATCATAGCCCAGATTTCAGACTCACCACTACCCAGGTTGCCTTCTTCTGAACATCCTTCAGTTTATCAACCTCCCCCTTATAGTGTGATACCCACAATGAATGCAAGAGTCTGCATCCAGGTTGTGGCCCTTTTTAATCCTCTGGATATGAAGAAAACAAAGCAAGAAGGTTAAGTCACAGAAAGAACAGGAAGCTGCTTCTGTCGGTCCATTAATTCTGCTGCATTTTTGTATCAGCAGTAATTCACTGATTTGACTGTATGCCATGTAGATAAATGGGTAGAGTGACGAGAATCAGGCTGCAGTTGTTTGGAAAACAGCAAGGCCATTGCAGTGAAACATAAAAACAGTGAAACATAAAAACCAGTGACTAGACAGCCTTAGTCACTGGTTCTTTCAACTCCCAGGAATTATTTTATTTCTCATAGTCACTGTTTGCATTTCAAGGGAAGTTTGGCACCAGCCATTGATGCCAATTGATGTTTCTCTCTATCCTGCTCTTACTTAAGGGATCTCTTTTTGTAGGAGGATCCAAGGAAACTCTGGGCAACTTTGAGGACAGAAACCTGGCTCCTAGATTTGTAAGGGCATGTAGATCAGGGTGCAGAATGGGCTGGAGGGTGTCCTACCAGTCTTGAGAAACTGGTTGTTTTGTTTTGTTGTTAACTAGCATGTTTGGCAGTGGAACATGTTGCCACAGAACACTATTCTCTGGAAGTTTTAAGCAGAAACCATCTGTC